AGAACTAAGTGCCCCACAAGAGAAGTATGGTCTTCCCTTCCCTCCTTTCTCTCTCTGTCTCCTGTTTCTCACTTTCTTTCTCTTCTCGCTTTCTCTCTTCTTTCTTTTACTTCTCTTTCTCTCTGTCTCCTGTTTCTCTCCCCTCTTTCTTTCCCTCCTTCCTTCTTTCTTACAAAAATAAAAAAAAAATTATAAAATATAAAATTGTAAAAAATTTAATAAAAACCTACTGACACTTTTTTCCTTACTTTCTTTCTCTCTTAAAAAAACAATATAAAAAAAATAAAAAATAAAATTGTAAAAAAATAAATAAAAATCAAAACCTACTGACACTAGTGGCAGAACTACCAGGGTTGCAAAGGTCGCTCTTGCGACCGGGCCCTGGCTTTCCTCCACAGGCTCCAAGGAAAGGGTCCCTGGGCTTTGGACTGCTCAGTCTAAAATGCTTGGGCCTATTTTTGGTCTCAGTCCGTGCCTGTGCAGGAGGGATTCCCCCGTCAATACCGACTGTGTTAAAAGGAGGAATTGAGTGTTTTTCTTTTCCCGTAAGCAGTGGAAAAAGGGAAAGGAAAGAAAAATGCATTATCTATGGATGAGGATCAAATCACATTTTTATAGCAAATTACTGCAGAAAACCAGTTAAAGTGTTACTAAACCCAGGACCCCGAATTCACTATATCTGGTCTCCCACAGTACACAGAACATGGAAATGCAATTATTCTAGTAAATATAAGCTGCTAAATACCCTTTTTCATCAGCAGTTAAGAGCAATCTTGTGATTTTTTGTATTAGTGTCCAGATGAGCACTGGTTTAAAGACTGTTAGGAGTTTTCATTCTCCACTGATTGTCCTCTGAGGCTTCATAAACCCTGACTCTCTTTCTGGACAGCACTGACTGGCCCTAGGCTGATCACATGTATTCTCCCAAGAAAGAAAAAACTCTAGCAATACACACCAAAGTAAGCATGTGCAGCTTGCCCCTAAGGCTCTGTTCTGTCAGCAGATGGATTGGGGACAGTAGAAGACGTGGAGGATCAGAGAAAACAGGATCAAACATCCTTTTTTACACAATGCGGAGGATTAGCCCCTTAATAACCACATAACATAACAAACATGCTTTACTGCATATAGAGACTGATTTTCACTGTTGTGGGTTTAGTAACACTTTAATTCCAAGGGGTTCACATACTTTTTCTTGCCATTGTATATAGAACACACAAAGTTTTTAATACCAATATATTTTAATGTGTACATTTCCTACAAGAACATTACTTGAGCAGCTAATTATTTTGCTGTGAATAATGAGCTGAAACTGAACTCCAGGGAAAGTTATCACTGCGTGGACCTAATTGATAAGTCAGAAAAGCAGACATAAACAACACTACTTAGGGAAAATTGCTCTTGTTATCGTCTTCTTGTATATTACAGAGCAGCTTGGATCTTAATGCATTTCAAAACATTAGCAAAGTCAAGAAAGTATGAAATCATTAAAACAATAGAGTATTAAAACATTTTCATAGCCACACTTACAAAGAAGTACTGAATAACACAGAACACAAACTGGAGTTAAAAAAGAGGAGTGACCAGGGAGCCAAAGAACATTTAAAATAGGGCTGCAAGTCACATTCCTTCAATTTACCTTTGACTTGAAACCAAGAATGGATGTATTGGCGTCATATGTAGATATCACTCAAGTTAGTTTAAAGTGAAAGGAAATGATTCTCAGCCAGCAGAATTCAGAAGCCACATAAATATACAGTAGCTCTCAGCTTCATCTGATTATGCACATAGAAAATCTGCTTCAGCTTCAAAACCTTATTTTGTGAACATTTTATGTACTCTACACTTTTTATAAGAACAAGCTAAACTAGCGAACACTTAACCTGCACATCTTTCCCGAAAGATCCAAAAAAGTGAAAATCTCTCTGAGGGGTGAGCCCCTATGACACGTGTCACTTAAACAGGTGTTCTCATTAGAAGATTTCCCCTCACTCTAGTGCCAACTGTAAAATATTTGGTTTCCCATCAGTTTCTGGACTTTCTGTGATGGTGACAAAGGTAACCAGGACATGGAGACAAGAGAAAGGAAATCCCTAGTCAATCGCACGAAATATGTTTACTAAATACAGGTAAGTACAGTTAAAACAGAACAGCAGACAATTTGCAAGCGAAGCATAAAAAAGCTACATTTTACACCTTTTTTATTAAAACCGCACACCACCCACAGTTTTTATTCAGGCATTGGCCGAATGCCAAACTATTTGCATAAGTAGCCAAGTCAAGTCAAAGGGCTGGCTTAACAGTATAATGTGATCTTTGATCATTTCCTAGCATAGACCAGGTAGCAAGGGGGCATATTTATAAAGCAATAAGTCTGACCATTCATCAAACATTCACTGCAGGTAAATCTTCCAGGTGCATGTGTTTTATATGACCATAATTGATTCACCACCAGCCAATTTTGGGGAAAGTTACATTCAATGCTTTACATATATGCCTCTTAAAGTGATCGTAAAGTTTTTTTTTAAGTAACACAGAGGTGTATACTTACTTGCTCTGTGCAATGATCTGCGCACAGAGCACTCCTGGCTCCTCTTCTTCTTGGTGTGCCATCATAAGAAGCTGCTTCCTATCGTAGCAGACCTGTGTACTCGACCCAGAGTCCCACTGACTGTGTCCACTGACACAGTCAGAGAGTCTTGGCCCTGCCCGCCCCCTGCTCTCTCAGAATAAGATTTGACTGTTTGACTGCATTGGGAACCAATGGCTCCTGCTGCTCTCAGCAAAGCTTGTGAAAGCGGGGAGAACAGGAGAGAGCCGCCACAGATGAACACTGCGCCGGATCGAGATTGGACTCAGGTAACTAAGAGTGGGGTGAGGGGGCAAATCGTTAACCTAAATATTTTTTACCTTAATGCAATAAACACATTTTTAGGCTTTACAAACGACTTTAAATATCCAGATAGGAAGGGGAAAAGAGCTAAGTATATGCTATCCCTTTTGTCGTATGTACACTGCGTAGTGCATGTGTGGATAGGCAACCTGATTGTAACACTTATTTTACAATATAGATGGATCTCTTATCTATTAATTATCTGGCTGATTCAAAAAACCTCAGTGAAGCAGCAAGATCTAGATTTTCCCTTTAGTTTTATAAAATAAATAATGGAGATTTCAGCAAAGCTAAGAAGGCGTTAGAGGGCCTCATGTACAAACATACGTGCACTGTGTAGTGTACATATATCCTACTTTATGGATATTTAAGGGCTATATTTATAAAGTGATGGCAACTTTCACCTAAAGAACAACTGTCTGTATTGTCAATAACAAAACATTTGGAATCTCTAGTCTATAGTTCTGTAAAGCAGGAATGTATTGGGTATGCACAATCAAATGTTGTTCTACATGAAAAAGTACAGTTGTATTCAAAATAAGTCCAACCAGATCAATCACTGTTTTTGGTATAAATTATATTTCTACAAGTCAAATAATTTACTAGTAGCAGTAGTCGAGTAATAGAAAACCAACAGACCCAGTCATGACATGTATGCTGTTGATTCTGTGTAATTGCATCATTAATTGAAAGGGACATGTTCAAAATAATAGCAGTGTGCACTTTACATAGTGAGGTCCTTCAGTCTGTGCAAAAAAAAAACAGGTGACAAACAGGTGGCCCTTATTTAGAGACAAAGGCAGCAAATGTTGTACATGCTGGGTATAGTGCATTTCTTCCTAAAAATTGGGAGTAAAATGGGTCGTTCCAGACATTGTTCAGAAGAACCGTGTACTTTGATTAAAAAGTTGTTTGGAGAGGGAAAACATGTAAAGAAGTGCAGAAACTGATAGGCTGCTCAGATAAAATGATCTCAAATACTTTAAAATGGCAACCAAAACCAGAAAGACATGGAAAAAAACAGAAAACTATAATTCGAATGGATTGAAGACTAGTCAAAGACTTAGCCAATGATCAGCTCCAGGGTGATCAAAGAAGGTCTAAAGTTACCTGTGAGTACTGTACCAATTAGAAGACGCCTATGTGAAGCCAAGCTATCTGCAAGAAGCCCCCGCAAAGCCCCACTGTAGAAAAAAAAAATCACATTTGCTGAAGAGGTTACAATTTGCCAAAAAGCACATTGACTGGCCTACAGAGAAATGGTGCAACATTTTGTTGACCAATGAAAGCAAGATTGTTGTTTTTGGGTGTAGGGGCTGCTGACACCTTGTTAGACGACCCCCAAACACTGAATTCAACCCAGAGTACACTGTGAAGCATGGTGGCGCAAGCATCATGATATGGGGATGTTTCTCATACTATGGTGTTGGGCCTATTTATTGCATACCAGGGATCATGGATCAGTTTGAATACATCAAAATACTTGAAGAGATCCTGTTGTCTTATATCAAAGAGGAAATGCCCTTGAAATGGGTGTTTCAACAAGACAACGACCACAAACACACCAGTAAACGTGCAACATCTTGGTTCCAGACCAACAAGATTAACGTTATGGAGTGACCAGCCCAATCCCAGACCTTAATCTAATAGAAAACTTGTGGGGTGACATCAAAAATGCTGTTTCTGAGGTAAAACCAAGAAATGCAGAGGAGTTGTGGAATATAGTGCAGTCGTCCTGGGCTGGAATAACTGTTCACAGGTGCCAGAAGTTGGTCTGCTCCATGCAACACAGATGCGAAGCAGTTCTCAGAAACAGTGCTTATACAACTAAATATTGGTTCAGTGATTCACAAGAAAGCTAAATCTTTAAGCATTTTTCAGTTTATATAGTAAAGTTTGTAAATAAAAATGCAGACTTCTATTTTTTGAACAGCCCAATATTCCTTTTCCTTCACTTTCTGTAAAGTAATAACCAATTTGAAACATTTTTCTTCATGTTTTGATTTGGAATAGAATGTGTAGTGTTCCCAATGTATTTGTGTGTATGGAAATAAGAGCTTTACTCACTCTTTTATACACACTATTATTTTTAACGCAACTGTTTATCTTAATAAGTACCTGGGTTGCTGTCAGAGCTCGAGGAATCACTGTCACTGGATGAGCTGGAGTCACTGCTGGATTCAGATGATGAGTCTGAAGGCGATTCTGAGGACGATGAAGAATCAGATGATTCAACGTTCTGCTTTTTGGTCATTATCATTTTTGGTGCATTTTTCAAATGTTCACGCAGTTCATCCCTGTTTTAAAAGAAAGCAATGTCCTACTAAGTATAAAAGATTACAGGGTAAAAATTTGTAACTGTAAAGGCTGTAAAAGGGATCTTACGTCAATCCTCCAAGACCAATGGAAGTGAAAAAGTTAATAGCAAAGCGAGTGTTTTTTGGGTTGTCCATGGGCAGCAATCCGCTGAAGAATGGTTGAAGAGTCCTGAAAAGATGGGGTAAACATCAATTGTGCAATTTTAGAAGAACACTTTGTGCTGACCAAAAACAACCAGTCAAACTATTATATACAAAGCTGAAGTTAGGAAGAAGATGATATGCAGGGTGGTTGTAAATGAAGAACTTGCCTTTTTTCCCCCCACACAGTTTTGAAAATGACAGGATATTTTAGATTTGCAATATTAAGCCCCACCTACTGTATCACTTAAAGTGGAATTAAAAAATAAAAAAAAATGCTCATACATAGCATTTTTATGAATGGTGAGACACTATTAGTGTCTTCTGTCATACATGCTTCTCTTTGTCAGCATTAATTTACACTGAGCTGCACATGCTTATCTCAGCACACAATTATGGCACCAACTCTGGACCATGATGTGACTACCGCCACACGCATGCAAGAGAGTAACATCATCATAACAGTCTGAACCCAGAAGAAGACAGGGAGAAGATGGAAGCGCTTGTGACCAGAGGGACCGCCGGCAGCGTATTACTGGAGTGGATCGTTTGACAGGTAAGCCTGTCATTATGTGCTACTATCCTGTGCATAACAACACATTATAGCTAACAGCTCCTGGGGCCCACTTAAAAAAGGTTACAGAGTTTCAATTGGCTTAAGTCAACATGACCTTGCTTAAAATATTTCTAAGGTTACAGCAGGTACCGTGTAGTACCTGCAAGTACTGTATATGTGTCTATGCCCCTGTTGGGAAGGTCCACCTAGCCCTCTAGACAACTGTTACTGTAAAATAACGTAATGAGAAATCCAAGATCTACTGTTATCACCGGAACACTGTTTCCACAATGGAACGGTAGATTGGTAGAGACAGCCTACATCCATATATGGAGATAAACCTCAAAGCTTTTATGTAAGTGCCATTTTCCCAGTTACAATATGACTATTGACATTAGAGCTTGGATAAAAGGCTATGAAAAGAAAGAAAAAATAGAATATAATGCATTTTGAATAGCACTGCCAGATGCAACACAGTACTGTGCAATGCTGAAGAGTTTGTCAGACTGATTAAGCAGCTCTTTTCTCTCATTATGAGTTCAACTGTATCAGAGGTTACAGGAAGTTTCAGATTTTAAATACTTGTGTTATCAGTTGTTGAACTCTTAAGCACAGAGGACCAAATGGTGGAAAATAAAAAAGAATCCTGAATAATTCTAATAATTATGTCCCTGGAAAAATATGGAATTCACTTTTAAAGCATCTCAGTTAGTGGTAACTCAAAAGGTACTTTCCATCAAGACAACTTAGAACCATGATACTCACATATCCTTAAGTCTGGCATTTAGTTTGGGGAGTCCCATATATTCACACAGCTCCTGGAAAAATATTTTCACAAATATACGACTAGAAGATGTTGTTGTTTCTTCACTAAGATTTATGCATTCAAGGACCTAAAATATAGAAACAATTCTTATGCTCACCATTGAAACAAAATCACAGAGACACACACAAGCAATGTATGGTGTTACTGTAGACCTTCACTCTGCATTCTTAAATTCTTTAATAAGTCAGCCCAAATCGCTAGGTGGTTTAGGGCCTGTATCAGTGGCTTTTCTTTGCTTCAAAACGGGTTTAGCATTCCCCAAGTCTATGTGAATGCAAAACCCACTTGAGCCAGGACAAATGCACCAATCACATAATTCTGAATGATCATAGAAGCATTTCAAACTTGGCACAGGCCCAGATTTTCAATCTAATCTGTCTAACTATTCTTTCTCTCTCATCCATTCATTCATCTAATCTATCTACCCCTAGATGTAAAATGCTTAATCACTTTTTGAAATATAAATGGAAAAATTATAATATAAATGGAAAACTATTCAGCAAAGAACATTTTCAACTGAGTGTAGGTGCATTTCACACAATTAAAAAAGGACTAATGGGACCTACCCATTTATAATGCCAGCTTGGCAAAAAAAAAAAAAAAAAAAAAAAAAAAAAAAAAAAAAAAAGATACTTACACTCCATGGAATAGAGTCAGTATACAAAAGGTGGGCAAACATCTTGGCAACATTTCTTAATTTGTTTGTTTCCAGCCGGTGGATGGTGTCATACTGCTCTTTGAAAATGACTTCAAAAGACTCCATGTATTCTTTCTTCAACAAACAGAAACGCTACAGGAAAAATTCATGCAGGCATTACATAGTAAACAAATACCAAGGAAAGGCTTAATAATTGGTAATATACAAAGGAAGAGATTTACGAAGAGTTGCATAGGGCCTGCCCATGCAAAATCTAAACACATAATTTATTGCATTAACAGCATGAAAAAAAAAAACATTGTGCAACTCTCCTCTGCTGTTCAGTACCAATTTAGACTTCTTTATGTAAGTGTATTTGACAAACTGTTTAATAAAAACAAAAAATGATCATCCTATTGGATTATCTCAAAGGATTTGTCTAGATACCTTGATAAAGTTTACTGAAACACCAAATCAGCTAGAAAGGACTTTAGTGAGTGTTAAGTTTGATCTGGACTAAAATTTAGAAATATTTATTTTTTGGGATAAATTATAATTTATCCTCTGCAGTTATGATGTTTTTTGCCATGCTCAGTAAGGGCTTTTCCACATGGGTGGCAGTGTCTACTGCCCTCTGAATCTGTGGGGGATCTCTTTTCAGAGGGTGATATAGAGTAGGGGCTTGCAGATAATAGCAACAAGAAGCAAGCATCAGCAGAAATCCGTGGGCTAAGAGTTTATGGATAAAGTGCCAACATACTATGTGGAGCTGAGCATACCATACAGTTCCAAAACGAATATGTAGAGCTAACCACATTAGATTACAGGTGAAACTCGAATAATTAGAATATTGTGCAAAAGTTCATTTATTTCAGTAATGCAACTTAAAAGGTGAAATTAATATACGAGATAGACTCATTGCATGCAAAGCAAGATAGTTCAAGCTGTGATTTGTCATAATTGTGATGATTATGGCTTACAGCTCATGAAAACCCCAAATCCACAATCTCAGAAAATTAGAATATTTACATGCAATCAATAAAACAAAGATTGTAGACAGAACAATATCAGACCTCTGAAAAGTATAAGCATGCATATGTACTCAGTACTTGGTTTGGGCCCCTTTTGCAGCAATTACTGCCTCAATGCGGCACGGCATGGAAGCTATCAGCCTGTGGCACTGCTGAGGTGATATGGAAGAGCAGGATGCTTCAATAGCGGCCTTCAGCTCTTCTGCATTGTTCAGTCTCATGTCTCTCATCTTTCTCTTGGCACTGCCAAATAGATTCTCTATGGGGTTCAGGTCAGGCGAGTTTGCTGGCCAATCAAGCACAGTAATCCCATGGTCATTGAACCAGGTTTTGGTGCTTTTGGCAGTGTGGGTAGGTGCCAAGTCCTGCTGGAAAAGGAAGTCAGCATCCCCATAAAGCTCGTCTGTGGAAGGAAGCATGAAGTGCTCCAAAATCTCCTGGTAGATGGCTGCGTTGACCCTGGACTTAATGACGCACAGTGGACCAACACCAGCAGATGACATGGCTCCCCAAATCAATTCACACTGGACTTCAAGCATCTTGCAGTGTGTGCCTCTCCATTCTTCCTCCATACTCTGGGTCCTTGGTTTCCAAATGAGATGCAAAAGTTGCTCTCATCAGAAAAGAGGACTTTGGACCACTGAGCAACAGACCAGGTCTGTTTTTCTTTAGCCCAGGTAAGACGCTTCTGACGTTGTTTGTTGTTCAGGAGCGGCTTGACAAGAGGAATACGACATTTGAAGCCCATGTCCAGGATCCGTCTGTGTATGGTGGCTCTTGATGCACTGACTCCAGCCTCAGTCCACTCCTTGTGAAAGTCCCCAACACTTTTGAATGGCCTTTTCCTGACAATCCTCTCCAGGCTGCTGTCATCCCTGCTGCTTGTGCACCTTTTTCTTCCACACTTTTCCCTTCCACATAACTTTCTATTAATGTGCTTTGATATAGCACTTTGGGAACCTCCAACTTCTTTTGCAATTACCTTTTGAGGCTTTCCCTCCTTATGGAGGGTGTCAGTGATGGTTTTCTGCACAACTGTCAGGTCAGCAGTCTTTCCCATGATTGTGAACCAGACTGAGAGACCATTTAAAGGCTCAGGAACCCTTTGCAGGTGTTATGGCTTAATTAGCTGATTAGAGTGGGACACTTTGAGCCGAGAATATTGCACCTTTTCACAATATTCAAATTTTCTGAGGATTTGAGGTTTTCATGAGCTGTAAGCCATAATCATCACCATTATGAAAAATCACGGCTTGAACTATCTTGCTTTGCATGTAATGAGTCTATCTCATATATTAGCTTCACCTTTTAAGTTGCATTACTGAAATAAATGAACTTTTGCACGATATTCTAATTTTTCGAGTTTCACCTGTATAAGCTCCGCAAGGGTAGGAACTAATGTTCTTGCCACAGCCATACAAGCATATATAAAAAAAAAAAAACAACAACTTAAGCGTCAGAATGGTTAGCAGTACTTAAACCAGAATATTCTTGAGTTAGAGGGGAAAGCAGAGACAAACACCTAGTGCACATACAAACTCTATACAGACACTGTCCCTGGGGAACCCAGAACCTCAACACTGCAAAGCAAAAATTCTAAACAATAAACTACCAGGTTGTGGTAAAAAAACAAAAAAAAAAAAAAAAAAACATGTAAAATGAATTTCAACTCATGTTTAGATGCTCCAGTCTTGAGTCTAAGGCGTTGTAAGTTATAAAATAAAATGCCTGAACAATTAACTTACCCCAGCAAGCAAGCCAAAGAACTTCTCGTACGTTCTCTGCTGAGCACAGCAATCCAGTATCATATTGCAAAGTTCTTTCTGTTTAAAAATAAAAATTTAAATATTCAGTAAGCAGATTTTCCTTCCACAGCTGCAGCACAATAGACTGTAAGTTAAATGTGCAGAGAGGCATTTCCCATTTGTTTTACTTCTTAAGTAACCGTAATGAATACAATAAAATATGATTGCGCTAGGGCTTTGGGTAAAATAGCAATATATATTGATGACAATGCATTATCAAGCTCTTTAATATTATACATGACATTGTATCTGGAGCACATTCAGCACTAATAAATGTGTTTAACACAGCAAATGTTCTTAAAGGGGCAAGGAACCTAGACAGCAAAGTGACAAAAAAATGCTTCAAATTACATTAACAGAAACATTTTGAAAAATATTTTAGGAGCTTTTTGCAACAGAAATATTTGTGATTAGAGTGCTGAAGAGATACTTCACTATCCCCATCTGAATTCGAGTACCATTGGCAGACAGAGACAAATTCTATTTATTCTTTAACCCAGTCTAAAATGGCTGGGAATTCCATGCCTAACAATTTGCAGACGTGAAGGCCCTTCTACATATTTGTAATTATTATACAGGATTTATATAGTGTCAGCAGTTTGTGCAGTGCTTTACAGTATAAAAGGGAGCCAATACAACAACGATACAAGAGGGTTAGGAGGGCCCTGCTCCTTGGAGCTTACAATCTATTTGCGACTATTTACAAACCGTTCAAGCAAAGAAGCTTCTGTTTTACAGAAACCAACTTTATTGGCAGCTGTTTAGATCTGTAAATACAATGTAATTTATAACAATTTTGTTTCACTTTCCCAAATTTGGCAGGCTGATAAAAAAAAAAAAAATTGTTTTATCAGTACTTTAAAGTGTTACTAAACCCAGGACACTGCATTCACTATATCTGGTCTCCCACAGTACACAGAACATGGAAATGCAATTATTTTAGTAAATATACATTTCTAAATACCTTTTCTCATCAGCAGTATATAGCAGTCTTGTGACTTCTATCAGTATCCAGCCAAACACTGGTTAAAGTTTGTAGGAGGAATTTTAATTTTGCTCTTGGAAAATGCAGAACCCCTGACCTCTGTCTGGGCAGTGCTGATTGGCCCTCTGCTGATCACATGCACTCTTCCAAGAAAAAAGAACCTCTCTAGTAATACAAATCAGACTGACCATGTGCAGAGTGAATCCACACAATATGTCTTATCAGGTGATAAGAGGGGGACACTGGAAGAAGGGGAGGATCACAGAAGTCAGGATCAAACAGCTTCTCACACAATGCAGAAGATTAACCGCTGAGATTCCACAGTGAGTAGAGCAAGCATGCTTTGTTCCATATACAAACTGATTTTACTATTGTGGCTTTAGTAACACTAAGTTTTTAAACTGATGCTTTACAATTTTACTTTATGTATAATATTTTTATTTTACACACAAACATTTAAAAGCTCAAAGCCTATCTCCGGGTTTCATTTCACTTCAGTTTGTTCTTGCCGAACAGGCCCAAGCAAACTATCTCCATTAACCAATAGCCGCCCGGCCAATGGCCGTTTGGCGGCTGGCAAAATCCTTCAGCGTTCCGGGTGGACTCCAAATGGCGTCCTCCCGGGCATGCGCATTTTGCACGCCTACAGAGCCGCGCGATCGGTCACCGGCCGCGTACCTCGGACACGGCCGATGACGGATCTGAGTACCGGCCCCGTTGCCGGTACCATGTGACCTGCTGTGACCAATCACAGCAGGTCACATGACAGTTGTATACAATGGATGGCTTCATTCATGCCATCCATTGTATACTAGTGTGCCTAGCTGTGAATGGTCACAGCGATCACATGCACAAGCTGGGCCAATCACAGCCCAGCTGTGTCATGTGATTAGCTATGGCCAAGTCACAGCTAAGCACAAAAAAAAAAAAAAAAACCCCTGAATGAATCGATTTCATTCAGGTAAATACTTGCTTATAGCAAAGTAATTCTTTGCTATAAGCAAATTGTGTAAAAAATATAAAATAAATAAATACTGATCACTTCCCCAAAGTAGTACAATGTTACTATGGTAACATTGTACTACTTTGGTCAAAGTGAAATATGAAAAAAAAAAAAAATCTTAAAAAAAAGAAAGAAATGTAATAAAAAATGTAAAAAAAAAAAAAAATTTTAATTTTTTTTTTTTTCATACTGTCACCAGTCAGTGTCCCTCATCACCGCCATGCCAGTTATATGATGGCGCTGTACTGCACTGGTGACAGTATGTAAAAAAGAAATTGTGAAAATAATTTTCATTTTTTATTTTCCGAAAAATTATGAAAAAAAAATACAACTTGTAAAAACTCGCCATGCCTCTTATGAAGCACATCAGACTGTCTACTTTGCAAAAAGGGGTCATTTGGGGGATATCTGTACTGTTCTGACATTCCTGGACCTCAAGAAATTAGATTGGCCGTCAGTACTTCAGGACTGATCAATTTTCAGATCTATACCATAGTTTGGTAAAAATAACCCAAATTAGGATGTATTTTTTAGTTTGTAAGCAAGTTATAGAGTTCACAAAGACATGTATGAAGAACAATTATATATTTGCAAACTTTTATAACAAAGAAAAACGTTTTTTTTTTTTTCCAAAATTTTCTGTGTTTTTTTGTTAATTTAGCAAAAAATAAAAACCCCAGTGGTGATTACACACCACCAAAAGAAAGCTCTAGTTGTGTGAAGAAAATGATAATATTTTAGTATGGGTACAGTGTTGTATGACCGCGCAATTGTCATTCAAAATGTGAGTGCTGAGACCTGAAAAATGGCCTGGGAGGGAAGGGGGTAAAAGTGCCCGGTATGGAAATGGTTAATAAGGCATGCAAGCTGTTGTTGGCACTGTCTAAACTGCATGCAGCATCAGGTACTTACAGTGCTGTGCTCTGGCAGTGGAACAGGAACTTCCAAGCCTGTTTCTGGAACCAAATAGAGAAGAACTGAGCACTGCTCAGCCATTCAAGGGAAGCTTTGCATTTTATTAATGAAATCAAGGCTGATTGGCTGAGGTGTAGGGGCATTATGAAGCCTTGCATTCATGCATTAAAAAAAAAAAAAAAAAAACTTGGCTGAACAGTGCTCGGACGACCTTGATTTTGTTCCAAGCCAGGGTTGCCAACCATCAGTAAATTTACAGACAGTTTATAAAATATAGTGATTTTTACAACTGTCTGTAAATATCAGGAGCTAATAATCTGTCATGCTGTGTTGACATTTGTAAGTGTAAACCAGTCAGATTGCTTGTTATGGGTACTGTCATTGTTTCCATATTGTATTTTATACTGTCTAAATATTGTATAAAAAATGGTTTTTAATGTAATTTTTCAGACAGCCAGTAAAAAAAAAAAGTGCTGTGTTAGTAAAAGAAATGCTGCTGGAGGTTGGCAACACTATTGCAGGCACCTCCTCTATTGTCATGCTAGAATAATTTTGAAGGCAGAACTCCAAGCTACACATTTGTCTTGGTAGAGCTCTGCAAGACAGGGGGCAGTAAATGGATTTCAATCCATTCGTGCACATTATTATTAAGAACCATCCTGGTTTCCCTTTCCTATTCCAAAACAGATAATATGCTCCCTCTCTGCTTCCGTCAGTGGCGTCTAAACGAGGGTGACGTCATGGCCACAATAAGGGTAAGGCCTGATGTAGTACGTGGGTAATGCTTTTAAGGGTACACTCTGCTTTGGAAAACAATCCTGAAGCGGTTTTACATTTTCAGAAAACTTGTGATCCTCAGTTTACAAACAAATGTTAAATATATATTTTTAAATATTTATAAACAAGTAAAGTTCCCAATATAATATATCGCTTGTAATAAAAGTGCCCTTTTAGCACTGTTAGATAGCAATATTTAGTGTCTCAGGCAGTCGTTGGAGCGTGTTTGGGTATAGTTTGATTTAGCAAATGGTTAGGAAAACTCCTTGCAAGTGAATTCCAAAACCACCTGCAATCTTAAAGTGTCATTAAACCTACACCATTAAAAACTATTAATAAATGCTATATTACATGATGTTCATACCCACTCATTTACAATAGGACTCATTTTCTATATTCTGTCAAAAAACCTGATTGATCCTGCTGTTCTCTATTTCCCCCTCCTGTCTATGTCCCCACTGCAGTTAGGAATTTTTGCAGAGTAGTGTTGGAAGCTAGTGCACGTGCTCAGTTTTCAGAGACTTTCTATGCTGAGAATTTCCTCCCCCATCACATCTGAGCCACCCATGTGACTATAGAGTCACACATGTGGGCATATACACATGGCAAATGACAGCCCACTCCCTTTCTCCTCCTTCATGGCCACTAACCAACTAAACACAATGGAGGTGGGATATTACATCTTGATTGATGGAAGTTTCACATTCCTGTTATTCTAAGACACAGGCTCGAGGAGTGACACACCCTGTGACTGGCAGAAATGCACCCGCCCCATGTTATTCCCAAAAAATAATAAAGATTTGATTTCAAATATATTTTTATGACCATTTTAAAACAGTTTATTGATATTAAGAATTTATTTTTTTCTCTGTATTCCAAAGGCTGTTTTTTTTTTAAACATGTGACTAGAAGCTCATCCTGCTTATGTTTACCTGCACACAGGCTGGGAAAGAGTTGGGTCATATGACAGCTGTATCGATTAGGTAAAAAGGTACTTAGATTTATTTTTTTTTAATTAACATAATTAGAGAACCATCAATCCCATAGAGAAAGAGAAGGGTCAATGTAAATTAAACAGTGTGACAGTGTGTGTTTAGTATCACCTTAAGTGAAGAGTAAAGGCTCAGAACAGCACATGCACTGCTGTCAGTGCTGGGCAAGTACCACAGCATGTCCTAGCACTCATTCACAATGGGATCATTTCCATGCAAACACTCTTAGGAATCATCTGCCCATCTACGGTCAGTCTACTGAGTAACAGAAACCCGTTCAGAAATGTCAGGTTCATACTACTTCCAGAACACCTTTTGTAACTGCTAGTCAACTAATGGCTGTCAG